GGGGGTAGCAGCCTCGAGTCGCGCGGGCGCAGCAGCAGCAGCGGAAGAAAAAAAGCTCAAATGACCACAATTCAAAGAGAAGTTTTATTTAAGATTTGAAACATCAGGGAAAGAAAAAAAAAAAGCATTTACACCAAATCGTTTTTTCTTCAGAATCTCTAATCTGCAAACAGACGGGCGGGGTGGGAAAAATTAAGAGTCCCAAAGTGGAACAGGAGACAAACAGAGAGGGAAAATACACCACCATCATCATCGTCGTCTTCATTGGAAAGGGGGGGGGGGGTGTGAGGCCCGGGATCGAGCGTAAACGACTTGAAGCCCTCACCTCAGTTTGGAGAACAGTTTCACAGTTTTGATCAGTTCTTCGGCTTCAGCACAGCATGACCGCCCCCGCCCCCTCCAAAAAAACAAAAAACGCACGAGCCAAATGCACCCCCCCCAAAAAAAAATCCACCTCCCTAGCTTGCTGAGTCCAGTGATTCCCAACAACCGAGGAGCCGTGGCACACGTTAGCATCAGTGAAATGAGTCCACTTCACTTCCAATCCAATAAATAACAAGCGCAGCAGCAAATGGCCGACTCATCGCTGCTCAAATGAACCAACGACTACTTGGATCAATTCAACATTGCGCGTCCTCGTTGAATAGAACATTGTCCTAAATTCTCACAATTTCAACCCCAACAGTAAATATTGGCAGATTTTTCTCATCCGCCATGAAAGACTGCCGACATTTTTGGGAATTGGCCTTGGACTGATTTGAATAATCGGTGAATCCTTTATTCAAAAACAGGACGTTATTTTAAATTGTGTGTGTGTGTATCAACTGCGGTGGTTGTTTTTTTCTTGCCCCCCCCCCCGCCCCCCAACCTTCGAAACGGACATAAAACCAAAACTGAAAACAAAACGCCACAAATATGCAACGGCGCGCTCGGTCCGAAAGTCAAACACGCGCCTCGTCCCCAACATGCGATGGCAAATCGGGGCCGATCGCATGATTTTCAGCCGAATAAATCATTTTGTTTTGTTTATGTGATTTGAACCACTGCTAACTTTCACGGTTGTAAAAAGTTATCGCCTTGGTGTACCTTCAGTGAAATTATTTTTTTAAA